AATATCCAAAAGGCTGCTTAAAGGACTACAGGGCTTTCAGCACATGAATGGACAATATAAGTTAATGAATCAAGAAGACTTCAGAGGGCATTTCAGTAGAATGGATAAAAATGAAACAATACAGGATAAAGAATGATATAAAAGAATGGAAAATTTCTGATACAAAAGCAAGAGCAGTAAGTTACAACAGTGAGCTCAGCGTGGGGACTGGAGACATCGTAGTTTTATGGTCAAGGAAGGACTTGGGCTCCCCCTTGAGGGGTGGGTAGAATTTGAAGAGACAAAGAAGAAAGCAGAGGAAAAAGCAAGAGCATCAGACTGATACGATGGTACAAACAGGGTGACGGCTAGAAAGAATGAACTTTGTCAGACTAGAGCAGGAGATATGATGGGATCCTATGCGCCAGACCACGTAAAGGGCTGTGGTAACACAATGGAAAGAGGCCAGCATCCCCGGTCATCTTTTTCTCCAACCATAGTTTATTCCTAGACTGGATAACCTAAAGTTTGGTTTTCCAAAATTTGGTCAAAATCATTCTACCATAGCTTAGAAGGTTGCTTATAGCTCTAGTATAGGAAAAAAAAATACAACCTCTCTCTCCAGTAGAGGCTTGCAGTGGTTCAGTGATATTATCTTTTTATATTTGGGTAGTGATTATAACATGGTACAGACAGGTCCACAGCTCCCAGTAGGAGTCAGTTATCACCCCTATATGCACATGTACACAGAAGCAGAAAAAAAAATTGCTGATAAACATGGCATGCTACAGTGATGCTCAGCTACAGAGCCATAACACTTGTGTTTGTAATGATCAGTGTGGCAAAAGACTGCAAGTGATCCGCAATTAATGTTAGGACCCAAATTTTAAAAGTATTTTCATTTTTAGAAATTAGAGATGACTGGGGGTGATCCTTATAACAAGGTCACTTCATCCACTGGCATTCTAATAATCTTTCCGACAGGGGGAGGAGGGGGTGGAGGCAATTATGAATACTACTTGCAAGTTAATTTCAGCTGCCCTTATTATCTGAGCATGCCCTGATAATCTGGGTGTGCCAATCGGACTGTGCGCACTGATCCATCTTTGTGTGCAGGACAGGAAAGTAGATGAAAAGGGCTGCTAGAGAATGCCAGCCCCACAGAGTCAGAGCAGGTGGCAGCCACTTCTAGTTTAAAAGCATGCCACTCCTTCTCAGACAGCTTGTTAACGTCTACTGAAATGCTCCTCAACCTTTCTTGTTTGTTTATTGTTGTATCGTAAGTTAAAGTTTACATTTTAAGATTAGTCTCTTATACAAAAATTTATACATACATTGTTATGTGACCCTAAATGCTCTCCCTACACCGTGACAGCAAACTCTTCCCTTTCACCTCTAATTTCCCATGTCCACTCAACCAGCTCCTAACCCTCTCTGCCTTCCCATCTCACCTCCGGACAGAAGCTGCCCGTTTAGTCTCATGTATCTATGTGAGCTAAGAGGCACACTCTTCACAAGTATCATTTTACGTCCCACAGTCCCGTCCAATCTTTGTCTGAGGAGTTGACCTCAGAAATTGTTTTAGTTCTGGGCTGACAGAGAGTCCAGGGGCCATGCTTTCCAGGGTACCTCCAGTCTCAGTTAGACCATTAAGTCTGGTCTTTTTACTAGAATTTGAGTTCTACCTCCCACCTTTCTCCTGCTCCATCAGGGATCCTGTGTTGTGTTCCTGTCAGGGTGGTCATTGGTGGTAGCTGGGCACCATCTAGTTCTTCTGGTCTCAGGCTGATGAAGTCTCTGGTTTATGCGGCCCTTTCTGTCTCTTGGGCTAATACTTTCCTTGTGTCTTTGCTGTTCTTCATTCTCCTTTACGCCATGTGGTTGGAACCAATTGATGCATCTTAAGATGGCCACTTGCAAGCTTGTAAGACCCCAGACGCCACTCACCGAAGTAGGATGCAGAACACTTTCTTAATAAATTTTGTTATGCCAATTGACCTAGATGTCCCCTGAAAGCATGGTCCCCAGACCCCCATCCCTGCTACTCTGTCCCTCGAAGTGTCTGATTGCATTCAGGAAACTTCCTAGCTTTGGTTTAGTCCTGTTGTGCTGACTTCCCCTGTAGTGTGTGATGTCCTTTCCTTCACCTACAATAATTCTTGCCTACTATCTAGTTAGTGAATTACCCTCACCCTCCTTCCCCACCCTCATAACCATCAAAGAATGTTTTCTTTTGAGTTTAAACCATTTCTTGAGTTTTTATAATAGTGGTCTTATACAATATTTGTCCTTCTGTGACTGACTAAATTCACTCAGCATAATGCCTTCCAGATTCCTCCATGTTATGTTGCACGGCTTCATCGTTGTTGTGTAGTATTCCATTGTGTGGATATAACATAATTTGTTTATCCATTTGTCTGGTGATGGGCACCTAGGTTGTTTCCATCTTTTTGCTTTTGTGACAGTGCTGCAAAGAACATGGGTGTGCATGTATCTATTCGTGTGACAGCTCTTATTTCTCTAGGATATATTCCAAGGAGCGGGATAGTGGATCGTATGGTACTTCTATTTCTAGCTTTTGAAGGAAGCATCAAATCGAATTCCAAAGTGGTTGTACTGTTTTACATTCCCACCAACAGTGTATAAGTGTTCCAGTCTCTCCACAACCTCTCCAGCATTTATTATTTTGTCTTTTTTGGATTAATGCTAGCCTTGTTGGGGTGAGCTGATATCTCATTGTAGTTTTGATC